AAAGGGGCGTCGTACTCGTTGTTGGTGCCCTCGAGGGCCGAGCCCACAGCCATGGTGTAGCTCAAGTACGTCATCGTCAAGAGAAGCCCGTAGCCCCACATGTGCCAATTGGAGAACGTCGCGTAGTGCCACAAAATGCGGTATGCAATGTACGCGGCCTAATGACGAGACGTCAAATGCATGCAAGATCGACGCGGGTGCGTACGTTGATGGGCACGATCGACTTGTGAAGGCGTGCGCTGAGGCTCTGCCCGGCCTTCTGCGCCTTCTTGGCCGCTTGCCCTGCCTACGTCGTCGTCAAGTTCCAGTCGTCGCCACCGTCGGTCGGCTTACCATTTTTTTAAATGGGCAACGTCACGCCACCGCGCACTCTCATTGGCGGTTATCTATCAAAACAAATACTATTTATTGTTATATAACAGTTATAGTCTTAAAAAAAGGCGCGCCCTTGGAGGCTTGGAGAATCAAGTTGTCCCACGTCGTTGTTTCGTTCTCGATGAATGGGAAAATCACCGCAAAGCGTGGTCTTTTGTAGTACCATCGACAGTGCATTGCAACTGTGGTGGTAGCCACCGCGCGCGGAGGATTTTGCCGCGACGCTGTACTAGCACGTCGCATGCTGGTGGAGCTTGTGCCAGGGCAGCAAGGGAATAAATAATTTATTCCCTTGCAGGGCAGCTAGTGCTGTCGACGCGAAGCTGCCCGACTCCCAACGACGCACTTGACGCCAGCGACAAAGCACGGGCGGCGTCGGGCGGTCCGATTGGAAAGCTCACGTCGGCGTCGCTTTCGACTTAGCCCGAGGTACAAGGCTGAGCGGTGTCAAGCTGGCACTTGGGACAGAAAACCAGTCTCCGTCAGCACAAAAAGCATTCCATGAAGCATGCCGCCCGAGGACTTCGTCCGTGCAGGCAGCATCCTCGAAGAAGAGCGTGCGTTCGTCGTTTGGAAAGGTAGGACGGGCTTGCCGTGCAGGTTGGCCATCAAGATGGCGCGGCTCTTGAACGACGAGTTGCACCGGCCTTAGACCGGTGCAATCAGAAAGTGTATCAGAATTAGTGCAATGCCAGACCTGCGGCCCTAGCCGCCCGTTCATCGTCGCCGATCAACGCCGTTCGGTGCTTCTGGACCACTCGGAGCAGTCGCACGCGAGTACCTCTACAGCTGCAGTCGCGGCTGTTTACACACGGCACGGTTCGTTATGACCTCATTCAAAGCTGATGGGCATTTGCCGCGACAATCACCCCTTGCTTGACCTTGACGTCAATCTCGGTGCCACGGCTGCGATAGGCGGTTGCCGTCAAGGTCAACATTGTATTGCACGGGATCGAAGCGTGATCCATTGTTGTTGATATGACCTCATGCGAGCCGCTACCAATGTTGACAAGATGACCAACGTCGGTGGAGTGGCGGCGAGGAGCTGGGTGTCGGCGCCAAGTGCAAGATCGTGTATGGAAATCGATCGAATTCGAGAGCCATGGCCAATCACAGACGTCGACGACGAGACTTTCAACCAATCAAACGACTGCATTTTGGGACATTGGGATAAAGTATGGATTCCGGATACGGGACGCTTCTGTGGCGTCCGAGCCACTGACTGCGGCCATTCCACTTTTGACTGCGAAGATGTTGCGGAAGGTTACGTTCGAGCTCGGCCGATGCGTCCGCGAGACGGGCCAGGCCATGGACCGCCTTGGCCTGCGCGTGCTTGGCAGCAACGAGGCCCGCGAGAAGTGTACGTGGCACCTGCAGATGACCGCCAGGCTCATGCTGGCGATGAGTAGTCTCGCGCCACCGCCAGATCATGAACCTCTACGACAAGGTCCCGTCGGTGGCCTACGACTCGTGGGTCGCGCCCAACGCGTCGGTCATTGGCGACGTCGAGATCTGCAAC